GAACGAGGATATCGTCTACTTGGACAGCGTTGCGCGCTACTTTGGCAAGCGCAACGAAATGGGGACGCGAGTCGTGGAGCAGTTTCTGAAACGGAGCAGATTCAGTATACAAACGGACCAGAGTTGGAAACGGAGGAAATACCAACTGGTCGAGGACACGCCGGATTGCGGCACGAGCTTCCTGGGTAAGGGTCGCTTTCATGGGCGGAAACGGAGTTGCCAGAGTAAACTCGGGATCCACGGTGGACTGGATAAGGAACACCTGCGGCCGGATAGCGTATTCGAGCAAGCGCCCCATGCTGTGCGAAGGATGCCAAGCCGTCGTGGCTGCGCGCCATCCAGGAATTTCGACAGACAATGTATCCTGCCGAAGACGTTCTTCGGGCGTTGCACGAGAGAGCTCATGAATAACGCTTTCGAGCTCCAGCATCCACGAAGGGAGCGCGAACGAGTCCCGTGTAGGGGCTGCCATGATTTAGGAGCAAGAAGGAGAGGGGAATTTCCGTTTCAGGCAACGGTCAAAATGATCGAACATTTTTTTAAATCGGAACCGGAAACGAAGGAAATTTCCAACGAACCGGTTCGGTTTGCCAGGAGGATCACGTCGAACCACGAAAATCTTTACGCGAAACGGACAAACGGAACTACATTAAGGTCCAGACGGAGAGGCCCATCCGGTATTGACAGGCCGGCGCATCATGCGCCCCGATCGCTCGAACTCGGGATACTCGCCACGAGTGCCAAGCAATGCGGCCCAGCAGGTTGCTACCCGTTTCAAATGTTCAAGCCCTGCCGACATCTCGACTCCTTCAGCCGTGTTTTCTCCAATGAATCCATACACCTCGGCCATATAATCCAAAATTTCGAGCTGGCCCATCGCTACGTCAGATACTGGCGGTTCATGCGGGATGAGATGAACTCCAGACACGCCATCCCACAGCGCGACGTACGAAGGGTACTTCGGGTCCGTGAGCGAGATAAGATGCTGCGAGACGCGTCGAATCTTGTGATAAATTTAGCCGAGCGGAAACGGAACGCACCACGAGCTCCATTAATTTGCGGATCGAGTGTTGCACCATGCGCGTGGTGCTAATAGGAAATTCGAACCGCCCGTAACCGGTGCGATGGAAGGAGGGATCGAGGGCCTGTTGAAGCACGAAAACGGCCGGCCGGAGCACTTGGCGCAGAATGAGCGAAACGGAGATCGGAGGTGCCCATTCTCGCTGTTGAGCGTACTCCTCGTCCGAGACCTCCAGAGGCTGTATCATTCGGCAAGCCTCCTCGACACGGGTGGCCAGGGTGCGGCCAGCTGGGCTACCAATTAGATGAGCGATTCCGACAGGGGTAGTAGGAGGAGACGGAGTGGATGCCATTTGGCTGCAAAACGTGGATCGACAGGACAAAGGCGGGAAGATTAAGGAAGCCCGTTGCGTTATTCAATCCGGGCGTACAACATGCGTATTTATGCTACCAGGACGAAGGGCCCTATTCAAAACGGAGGAGGCGATGGAAATGATCCCGTGACGGCAAAAACACCATCAATCTCCGAGTCCCAAGAATATTTGCTCCGTGTTGGATAACAGGAATGACGGGAAGTCCGTTTGGTCTTCGACCTCGTTCCAGGCCCGGCCGATCATCAAGGCGCGAGAAAGGTTTAGCTGGATAAGCGACGGTGTCACTCGATGCGCACTTTCTGGCACGTAAACGGCCACCAGTTCGTTTAGGAGTTCGAGTCCGCGAAGGCAGCCACCACTGAAGGCAACGTATGTTTGCGGCCCTTCTCTGCAAACGTCGCTGGGGAGTGCCCCGCCATCGTCGAGTAAACAAAACTGCAGTACGACACGGGGTGGCGTGAGTCGGTGAAACGGATGAATTACGAGACGGACTTGCCAGGAAACCCATGATGTTGGAAATAGCGTCGTGGACAACGATTAACTCGATCATGGTCAATTCGTGACGACGCAACCACCCCGTATTGGCTGGGCGAAGCGCGCTGAAACGGTGACTATGGGGCTAGTCGTGAAATGCAAATGCAAATATGAACTAGAGATGAACTCTAAATCCACACTACACACACACTACACACACACACACACACTAATAGTCCTCGTTGAGTTCGGGCGGTTCCAACTAAAGTATATAGTTGTTGCAATCCGACTCGTTCGAAAGGTAACTGTTATTCTTATTTGCTATCAATTGACAAGTTCAAGACCGTCTCAGTCGCTTTACGCGGATCTGAAGTCAAGAAGATGTGAGGGACGTGGGCTAGACTCGATATACACTCCAAACAACGTTCGGAGGGCTTGGGGTTTAATGCTTTCTCTTGTTGAACCGTTCACGATACACTTTGCGAGATATTGTTCAGACTAAGTCCAAACGCTCGATAACCGGCTGATCTCTGACACTCGTTGCGACTTATTCGTTTAGGTAACCTTGCGACTCGATTCTTTGCGACGATATAGGTAACCCTTGCGAACAATTGCGACGATATAGATATCAACCAACACCAAAATATATTGCGAATGGAATAACAAGAGGAACTCTAAAGCTCCAAGTGGTATGCCGAGGGGAAGCCACTCTTCACGGACGCCAAAACAATGTGATTGTTATGACTAGCGAGACAGAGGGGGATCCACTGGCCTTACACCAGGTAACTCATCTCTTTTATACATGATTCAAACTGTACACTAATCAGTAACTCGTAACCCGAGAATCTTACGCGTCGTATCTATTAATACAACATGGGACGGCCCAGTAATAAATAAGCAAGCCGAGTCCGGGTATGTTGCTGCGGGCAGGGTATGGCCTTACCCGTTATAGTAAATTTATATGCTGCACCGCCCCCACCTGCGTAGGCGAGGGTTTTGATGTAGCTCGGCCACTGACTCAGCCGTCTAATTATGACTCCTCCTTCCTTTCCTGGCCTCTAGGCGCAGTAACTTCGTTAGGCGAGCTTTGCCGAGACCTTCGTCAACATCTGAAGGTTCCGTCTAGGCCCTGAGTCCTCAACTCTGACTCCGTCTGACTTTGGTTCGGGTTGTTCCGCTGCTGCGGTGATGTCCGAGTCCCGACACTTGATCCGTGAACAATGACACTCGCGAGAGTTGTCTTGCTCGGCACACTGAGCGGGTACTGAGGTATTCGAGAATACTCCTGCGCCCCTGAGGTGCTTAACATAATTGTAGTAGCGCTCTGGATGGATCCCTCCTCTACTGTCCTTTGATTGGGGTTGTGCCGATGGCTCCAAACTTAGTCTAAGTTGGTTGAACCATCGTTTGAGGCAAATACCTTTGCTACCGTGAGCTCTGACCCTTGCCGGAATCATTACTAGTCGCAGCGCAAGCATTCTCCCACACAATAGACCCGTAACTGGCAACCCAGGACTGGTCCCAGCTCTTATATGAAATGTACTAAGCCCAGTAGTAATATTATTACTCCGTTGGAATTGATGGTCTGCCTTAGAAATTGGTAAATTTCACGGGTAGCCACTTTCCAGGCTTATCAGCGCAATCCAACAAATGGATAGACGGGCGAATATAGCGTTCCATGACATCGTCAAGTTTATCGCGCGAGTCACTGCCGGGTTCGAAACGGAGTGCCGTGTCCAGGGCATACTCGTTGACAAGTTTGCACGCCTCCTCAATGCCGTAGAAATTCGAATCGAGGGCGAGACGCGGGAGACAATAAACGTTGGACATGGCGGCGTGAATACGCTCGTTGAGAAGAAAGACAACAGATATCAGACGGCGTCTCGACATACAGGCCTTCTATTTATACGATGAACTTTAGGGAAACGGACGGCACGCTCGCATCTCCGACGCCGAATGCCTCACGACACTCCACTCGGAGAGCTCTCGGCCGCACGCTTCTTCATCCGCGCACAAAGTAGGGCTAGCGCTTCGGCAAAAGTGATTTCCACTCCCCCCTTGTAAACAGTCAGCCTGGTGGCCACGCTCAGGGGGAGAATCTACCATATCAGCAAGCAAGCCCTCAACACTCTCCTTTTGCACACCTATCACTTTGCCTTCCGAGTCCGTTTCAACCAGGAGAGCACCGTCAACACGGGAAAGGGCTACGAGCGTGGCCTCCACAACGCGCTGTGCGTCAGTCCAAACGGGGCTGTTGATTGCTTCGGTCGAGAAATCCAGGACGGCGGCGTCGTTTACCGTAATCCGTTTGAAGTTACGCGGAGGTTGCCGCGAGACAAAAATTGCCTCGACCGTGCGATGAGGATCGTACTCCTCGTAGTCCAGGAAAATGGCCTGTTTAGAGACGCGGAAGAGGGCGACCGTCTCAGCGCATTCTTTCAAAAAGAAATCCGCTTGCGAAACGGCGAGATTGAAGACGTTGATTCCCTGGACGTCTGGCGCGTCATCACCATCGAAGCCCACAGCATACAGCAGCACGCCGATGAGGTAGAACATCCAGGAAGCTTGCGTAGGAGTATTATGCCGGCTATAGTTGTGGCGAAACTCGTTCTGCCGAACTCGCGCGGCATAATACTTCGAAACGGAGATAAGTCCAGGATCCCTCAAACAGGAGGAAGAATAGACGAACCATATGGTCAACAATAATGTGTACGCACACGCGCGCTTCATGCAGGTCTCGAGTAGTGATAGAAGTTCGCGTACGCGTGGCCCAACGATCTTCGAGAATCGATATCGCAACCAAGAAAACCTTGAAACGAAGGTTCTGTCGAAGAAACCGCGATAGTCCGCCGGCAGGGACATCCATGCTCTCGCCTGGCAGTATGGCAACTGTAGAATGGAAGCGTCCAATGGCAGAAGTGTCCATTTGGTGAAACGGAGCAGTTGGAATTTTTCAACCAGCCGGAGGCTGTATTTATAGTGTCGCCAACCGGGGACGGTCGGCATTCAAAAGTGGGGAGGAGATGTGAGCTGTCACTTTGTGATGCGCTCTGAACGCGGCCAAATGGGAGGAAAATCATACTCACGACAGCGACTCCGTATCAATAAAAAGCATCGGATACACCACCACCAGGGCCAGACCCCGAATCGAACAGGGAAGAATCACTCCATCCCAATGTATCGAGTCCAAGCGTGTTACCGTTACACTATCTGGCCGCGAGTACTCACCGAGACCACAAGCAAAAAGGGATCCTCTGCGTCAGCAAGGCCAGACCCCAAATCCGAGGAAATGTTATGGGAGTCTGTGTATTCGTCTCGCGCACGTGACCATTCCGCCACGAACATCAGACTCCGAATCAATAGGAAACCCACAAGCAAGCAGGAAAATATTGATAGAGCTATCTGGCCGTTCAATGCGTTCACTCTAAAACTCGACGCGCATTCACTCAAAAACGAAACGGAGGCAAAAGTTTCTTGATGGTTTATCAAGGCCAGACCCTGAATCGAACGGAGACCTTGCGAGGAAACGTTACAGGCTCTCTTATTTGTCTCGCATGCGTTGCCGTTCCGCCACCTGGCCGGTACTAGGGAAGGAAATGGGGGGGCAAACGGAGACGAAGTGGTTGCGCTATGGGAAACGGGGCGACTAAACGGAGAACTGAGGCGGTTCTTGGGAAACGGGGTGGCTGAAACGGGAAACGGATGCGACACGAGGCTGCTCCGAGTCAATTTCTAACCCCTTCGGAATCGGGAACGCGTGGGCGATCACAGAGGCGAGTCAGAACTGAAAAGGTGGAACGTCCGTTTCCAATTAAAGGGATAAATACGCGCGCGAGTATCGGACAGAGTACAGTATAAAAGCCAGCTGTAAGATACGGAATGAGTATCTTATTACCTCCCACTGCATTTACCTAAAGCTACTCCCCCTGAAGTACACCAGGGTGGGGAACTAAATTAAAATACACTCCGCTACGGGTCGTGCCGCCCAATAGTAGGACAAACCAAGGTCACCTAGAAGGCCAGGGCTTGTCAAGAAACCCCGTCCGTCTCACCTCCGTTTCGATAAATCGATACGGGGGAAATATAGTCAATCCGGAGTTGAAAGCGCACGGAAGTAGATTAACGCGGCACACCACCAAACGGCCAGTCGCCTAACTTGGCTTCGTGCAACCGTTCCTTTTCGGAGTTCGAGCGCATATCCTTGCGAGGAACCCACCCCATCGTACACGGAAGGCCTATCCTACGCGATCATACCATTTCCCCCATTCAATTCGCACACTTCACCCCCGAGTCTTCGAAACGGAAGTGATTCCGTTTCAAGGCGTTCACCAACGGAGAAACTAGGCTACGAAGGGAATCGCTATAGCCATCCGTATAGTGTTGCACCGTACTGAAGAGACCTGCCGTCCGATACGTTCGAGACGGGTGGATAAAGCATAACAGATAACCCGAGTACTCCGGAACGGAACAGCATTCGCATTGCGGAGCGTACCCCTTCGAGCAAGTGTAGAAAACTATCCATCCGCGGTACCTTCGGAAGGCCAGCCCCCAACGAAGAACTAAATCTTCGAGGAACCTGGCAAAGCGTTCAATCCAAACGGAGAGAACTGTACACCACACGCACCACAAATTATATATCGCGCATTAGCGTACCTTAAAACTACGCAGCTCCG